GTAAAACACATTTTGTCTTCAATTATTTTCATATTGCATATTTTTCCTATTTTAATTTTTGTTTTGAAAATATGGTAAAAACTGGTAAAAATGTACCAACAATCACATTTAAAAAATATACACTTTTTGATATACCATAAAAAAAAAAAATCAATCTGAATTAGGACAACATGAATTAGGAATTTAGGCTATCCATCTAACAGTAGCCTACCAAAATCTTATTAACAGTAGAAGTTCAATCTTACTGTAGTCTTCAAATCTGGGTACTGTCTTACGTTTTAAAATCACAAAGGGAGTTTGGTCCCATCAGGCTAACGTGACAGTCACGACTCGTGCAGCTGTAAGGTTTTCTTTTTCTTTTGTTTTTACTCGTGATCTTTACAACACGCATTACATTACGTATTTCATGGCACCCTCATTTTATGAGTATTTGGCGCCACCTATTGTTGTGGGTGTATTATTGACATGTCAAAGTCTAGATCCTGAATATAAGACGACCGCGTTTTTTCAGATGCATTTCCAAGAAAAAAACATCGTCTTATATTCGGGTCAATACGGTAAATAAAAACACTATTATTTTATCCACCTTTTTCTTGTCGTAAAAATGGGCGCGGCCATTTGTAAATTATATGGGTCTGGCTTCCGGTCTCATCTGCGTCCACTCCGTCCAGCTATTTTTAGCTGAACAAAACAGTTAGTTTTGCTGCTTGATATTGAAAGTTGGTGTGTCTTATCATATTAGTTTAATGTATTATCTTAATTATGAACACACTGGTTTGTAGTGCAAACATTTTTACCGTTTACTGCACGTTGTTATTCTCCCCGTTATTTACCTATAGCGGCTAATGAACCGGAAGTCTCACCCATAGGCTTACTTCCGCGTTGAAGAAAAAGGTGGATAGTACACCTAAAAACACAATGCTTATATTTTCATTTATTTATTTTTCCTTTTTACGGTTTGATTTCTTTACATGAATTTTCATCATTTTCAATGAAATCTTATACAGTATTACAGTTAGTTGATCTAAAACAGTGATTGTGCATTAACAGCTGTCAGTGAGCGGTCTGAACTTATTTCCACAGCACATTTTTGATTTTGGTCACACATGCGCACCACTTTATGTGCACCCCTGTTTATAAAACAAGAGCTGTGTGCAAGACCTTGTTATAATATATTGTGCATACCGTGTATGTCCATCCATCACAGCCTCATTTTCATTTTGTCAAATTAAATATGCCATCTAAACTGACTAATGGGTCTAATATGAGCCTAGATAAACCAAGCAGAAAAGTAAGATTAAAAAACTTAACATTTTAAAGCTAATATAAAATCTGCTGAAGGAACAGTTAAAAATCAACGCTGAGCAGCTGCAAGTTTAACAAACAATTAAATTCAGAACAAAGGGTGACATTCAAGAAAATTTTGCAGTGAGCATTTATAAGTAAACAATAAATTGACAATTATCTGTATCATCCTTTATATCCTTTTCCTCAATCGGGATCCCGAGAGCCATTTTCCTTCAGAGTGTATGCTGCCTTCACATGCTATCAGAAGTATCGTAAATACGGGTTTCCTAGTCAGAAAGCGAATATGTACGGCCTCTCAAGTTGTATTTACAACTGGGAAACTTGAGGTAATTTTGATATCTGAGTTTCTGCATTGGGCGGGCCATAAACTTAGCTGTAGTCCTGTAAAGTTTTATTCATTTTCCCCACAACATCTTCATTACGTTCTCTTGTTGTTACAGTCGTGTATATATACTAGGGCTGCACAATTAATCGAATTTCTAATCGCAATTACAATTACAAATGCCACAATTACGTAATTGTTCAAAGCAGCAATTAATCATTCAAAGTCCACTTATGTTATTCTGCACGCTTAAGATATGTTGTTTTTCCTTTCTACATTTTATCTTAAGGGTTTTTCCATTGTTTTAGTTTTAGTATAACATTATAATACCATTCATATTTTTACTTTTTTATTATTTAAAGAAGAAACCAATCCGATGTATATTTGACATTTGAGGCTTAATACTATAGGAAAAGCACTAAACATTTTTCAGTTAGAGTATTTTCAGCTTGTTTATTTGCATATAAAATACAGCATGCAGTTGCATCAAACAATGGTATAAACATCATTCAATGTAAATTGTGATAATCGTAATTAATAATCGCAATTACAGTTTCAAGGGAATAATCGACAATTATGATTTTTGTCATAATCGTGCAGCCCTAATATATACATATATAAATAATAGTGCTGTCAAACAATTAATCACATCCAAAATAAAAGTTTTTGTTTACATAATACATGTGTTATGTTAAATAAACACAGTACACACATATATTACGTAAACGAAAACTTTTATTTTGGATGCGATTAATCGCGATTAATCGTTTGACAGCACTAATAAATAACAAAATGAAAATAGCATTTATTTGACTGAAAATTGAGAATCGTCAGCAAGCTGAATATCTAGAGCAGTGAATGTGTCTGTGGTTAGCAATGAATGGGACGTTACATTTTATTCAAACCCTGTTTGATATTGACTCAATATCTTCTATACCTTTTGGCTTTAATAAGATTTTCACAAGAAACAGGCAATAGTGAACTCATGAATGGGTTCTTTCCAACAACAAAGCATTTGAATGCTACAAACTCATAGTTTTATCTCCACAAGTGGAAAGTAGGAAAATTCCAATAACATGTGAAGGCAGCATTAGTTCCAACTCTAATTAAACACACCTGAATCAACTAAACAGAGTCTACAAATTACGGCCAGGTGTACTTTAGCACATATGGAACTAAACTATGCAGAAAAGTCTTTCCAAGACCCTAGCTAGCACTATATGTTCAAAACTTGCTATTTTTTGCTTTAATATTGTAATTTCTGGTAAAACTACATACTGAAAAATCTCTGGGTCATTAGGTCATTAGATATGTATGCGTACTTGCGTGACACGATTGAGTCGACGGTGGGTGCACTTGGTCTCGTATTCGGGTCTGAGCTGCAGCTGTTGCTGCTCTTCCTCAAAGTCCACCAGATCCCACTCGTACTCCAGTCGGGCCTGACGCCGCTTCCAGAACTCCAGGAACAGAGTCACTGACACCGTAGAAAAATTACAACTTTAATCTCTCTATATAGACCCATTTCTGTGTTTTTGTGAGCGGAGCCTATCTGGTGGCAGAAAATGACAGCTTTTAAGTAGCAGTCTACGGAAAAGCCATAGAATAAATACATTTTTTATATTTCAAAATTCTGACTTTTTTCTCGCAATTCCGAGATTATATCTCACAATTCTGATAAGAAAAATCAACTCGTCATTCTCGCTTTTCCCCTCGGCTCAGAATCATTAGAATCATTTATATCCCACACTTCTGGCTTTTTTCCCCTCACTATTGACAAACTCACAATTGTTGAGTTAAAGTGAGTTATAAAGTCCGAAATAAGAGACATAAACTTGCATTTGCGAGAAAAAAAGTCAGAATTGTGAGATAAAATAGGTAAATGTTATAGGTTTAAATAGTATTTCATGCTTTAACTGTAGGGCTAATACCATATGTCCTCTATGTAAATATTATATAGACCTATTTTTCAAATCTAATTTATGCTTTAAAATAGGGTAATCATAGCAGGTTTCATCCATATTTCTTCCGTTTAAACGTCTGCGTTTAGCTTCAAATAGCATCTTTGACGACAGTATTCTATAAAAATGATTTGCATTCCGATTCTGACATCCAGAAGCACAATACATTTTTTCTCTTATTTCATGGACTTTACCCGTTTCCCTCCACTTGTTCCCAGTGTTTTTCAAAATGCACGTGCAGCTGCAAGTGACGTAACTGTGACGTCTACTCCAAAATGGTCTATTGTGTTTGTTTCCTGGACGCATAGAGTGCTGTATGATGATGCATTTTTGAAGGCCAAAATCCAGAACCCAGAGTTAGCATTTTTGCAATTCTTGTTCCATCATCCTGAAGTCAATGTTTTTTGAATGGGCTTTCGGTTAAATCTCTGAAATAAGCTCAGTGTTTAACACGAGCTCAAGATATTTTCATGTTTATTCTACAACATGAAATACATCAGTAATAACCTCTTTTTTTAAAGCTTCACTTGTCTTGAAAAAGGCAGCTGCTAAGTGGCTAAATGAGACCGACTAAATGAGTACTAACTCAAACTTTCAGGGGCAATTATTTGGTGGATCAAGTCATGTGACTGCAGTTTGTTCATAGCCTTGTATTTAGGCTTCAAAATAAAAGTTGTGCTCATTTGTGAAGATAATTATGTTGAGCAAAACGTGTAAGAATCCTAAACTTTTGTTGGTCAAAGAGCTTATTTTCTGCAATGTTTCAAAGGCTCATGGTTTTTGTCGAGGGAAGTGATGCTACCTTCTGGGTTGGCCTACAAAAACACGTCATTATTGCAGCTCTCTACTCAATCACCCCATGATGCCCCTCTTTTGCATTATTTGCATATTACTATTGTTTATAAAGCGTACTAAATATGCATAATTTCAAAGAAAATCATTTATATTGCAACCAGGTGTCATGCCATTCTAAATACAACGTTTGTTGTAAATGACTGACTGACAACATGAGGATTTTATTAAATGTTTAAGAACAAGCATCATATTTTACCATTAGGGGGAGTCAGAGTAAAAGAGAATATTAAATATTTACCAAATTTAGGCAGCGTATGTGCCATTTTCACCATGATCATAACAATTAAAACTACATTCAAACATTAACACATTCTCTTAAATGATGGCTCATACCTATTTTCATTGGCTGATCAACTGACATCAAACTGCACAAGGTAAAGTAAAGAAGGTGTAGGCAGTAGTTTGATGTAACAAATTTAGAGACAGGTAACAAATACAATTCTAGAACCAATACAACAGTTACAAGAGCTCACTACTCACCCCATATTCCCATGAATATCGCAAAGAACACCGTCGCTGTGTTGTCAAACAGATACGATTGCTACAAGGCAATCAGACGAAGGTACATTAATAAATACACAAAAACATGCTCCATAGGTAAATAAATAAATAAAAGATGTAAAAATTGTTACACCATGGACAGTTATTTTTTCACTCACCCATGAGGAGCTACAGGTTGTGCTGAGCTTCCAATAGCCACATTTCTTATCACAGAGAGGACACATGACAATCTGCCCACCAATGGTATCATTACAGATCTCTTTACTGCAGAAGACAACACAAATCGTTTCTGTGAACCCAAACTCAAAATTACTATACTTAACTCTAGCTTTATTTCACATGCCGTTGTGTTTACGAAATGTCAGAGAGCAATTCATAATACTGTACATTACAAGCGTTGCATTCTTAGCACTGCCACAAGGGGCACTATAGCAGGCATTAAAATGAACCATCTTCTGTTTCTGTTTTTAGTTTTCTAGTCTTATCCTCACCTCCAGACGTTTTCGTCAAAGGTGGCCACACCATAGATGAAACAGAGCAGACCAACAACTGCAGCATAGGAGAGCATCTCTGTGTAGAAACCCAGCCAAGCGAAGTAGATGCCAATCTTCTCTCCATAGTACTTCCTGTGGTACAGGAAACACATTAATCAAGGAAACCTCCATCCACTTGCTCAAAGTGTCAGCAACGCCTCACGCTCTCTAGATTTCATCTATTTAGTGATCATTTATTTAATAAGGAACCTTGAGCTAATTTCACATTTAGTAATTTTGCATTTAATCATTTTGCAGAAGCTTTTATCTAAAGCGACTTACAATTGGGTAATACATAAAGAGAAACGGGAAGTGCTCGTAATACCAAGTTTTAGGCATTGTTCAAATAAGTACAAGCTAGAAAGGGAAGGAATAAATAAAGAGAAAGACAGTGTTTTTGTTTTTTTTAGAATGAAGTCAAATAGCGTTGAAAGAGATAAGTTTTCAGCTGTCGCTTGAAAATTGTCAGGGAATCAGCATTGCGGATAGGGGTGGGAAGATCATTCCACCAGCCATGAACGGTGAACAAAAATGTTCTGGAAAGTGATTTTGTGATGGTACCACAAGGCGTCGCTCACTAGCAGCTCTCAGACTTCTAGAGGGGATGTAGATTCGTAGTAGTGAGTAGAAGTGGGCGGGTGCTGAGCCTGTGGCTGTTCTATATGCAAGCATCAATGTCTTGAATTTAATGCGAGCCGCAACCGGTAGCCAGTGCAAGGAAATAAAGAGAGGTAAAATATGGGCTATTTTGGGCTCGTTGAAGACCAGTCGTGCCGCTGCATTCAGAATCATTTGTAGAGGTTTGATTGTGCTTGATGGAAGTCCAGCCAGAAGAGCATTGCAGTAGTCCAGCCTAGAGATGACAAGGGCCTGGACAAGAAGTTGTGCAGCGTGCTCCGTTAGAAAGGGCCTGATCTTTCTGATGTTGTGCAATGCAAACCTGCAAGATCGAGCAGTCTTTGCAATGTGGTCTTTGAAGGTCAGCTGGTCATCAAAGAGTACACCAAGATTTGTTGATGGAGTAATTGTAGACGAACCTAGCTGGATGGTGAAATCACCAGAGTGAGTTGGAGTGGCAGGGAAGATGAGAAGATCAGTCTTTGCCAGGTTGAGCTGAAGGTGATGTTCTTTCATTCAAGCTGAGATGTCCGCCAGGCAGCCTGAGAACTGCAGCCACCGTTGGATCATCTGGTTGAAATGAGAGATAGAGCTGTGTGCCATCAGCATAGCAATGGTAGGAGAAGCCATGTGCCTGCATGATGGGACCCAGTGATGTTGTGTATATGGAGAAGAGGAGGGGTCCAAGAACTGATCCCTGAGGAACCCCAGTGACCAGTTGATGTGCTTTGGATACCTCCCCTCCCCAGGACACCCTGAAAGACCTACCAGTGAGATAGGATTCAAACCAGCGAAGTGGAATCCCTGTGATGCCCAGTGATGAGAGGGTGGACAGGAGGATCTGGTGATTGACAGTGTCAAAAGCAGCAGATAGATCCAGCAGAATAAGAACTGATGATTTGGAGTCAGCTTTTGCCATCCGGCCGCAATTTCTTTAACAAAAGCAGTGCAAAATATGTATCAGCTTATTTGAGTAACAAAAATTATAATAAAAATATTGCGGTGCTTTCAATATGCTATTAAGTTCACTATACGTCATTAGAGAAGATATGTGATTCTTCCTTGGCTCACGAGTATGAGACTGTTAAGAAAGACTTAATAGTGTTAATAAACTTCAGCAATAAAAACAACTTTACTTATTTTCGATGAATCGATTCATAATTCTGATTCAATTCATTATTTCCATCATCACTCGAAAATGTTGTTTTGGCATTTTACATGTTTTAATGTAGATATTTTAGTACATACTAGGGCTGTCAAATTTTTTTTTAATTTCGAATATTTGTCAAATTTAAAATAAAAATCCACATTCGAATGCAAAAATGTTGTATTCGAATTTTAGGTGTGCGTTAAGGAGGCAGCCTTATCAGTGGCACACAAGATGTGATGACGATGTAAGTGTCATTGCATTATAATGTTTTTGTTAGCCTATTCAGTTGAAGCCACTAGATGCGGTGCTGCTGCGTTGTTAATTACAAATATTGCGTGAAAAGAGAACATCAATGCGAAGAAGATCTTGTTTACATCAAAACTGTAACCAAGCCATTCACACAGAACGCATATTTTGCGCATTTTCTAGAGGGACATCTATCACCATTGCACTCGCGTCTTGCACAAAAGAGCCGCATGTTTAGAAAGCCATGTAAAATTAATGCAAGTCCAACTTTGAAAAAAACATATCTCGAGACTTTATGGAAGGTTTTTTCCCCACGACTGCAAACTCGTGTTTTTAAATGTAAAATGTACTCTGTGTGATTGGCTTTAGGCACTTTGTATTAAACTATGCATACATACATGATGCTGTATTGTTTATAGTTGTTTAAGCAACTTAATTATAATTGGTTTATAAGCATTATTTTAAGAATTATGCACTTTTTTCACAGATAGTCATGTTATCTTATGCTTTGAATAAACGTGCAGTAATATTTTGCTCGATGCGCCCTCTTGTGGCCTCAGGAGAGAAGCCAAAAGCTTTTCTTCACCCTAACTGAAATGATGCATTTTAAATTTGAATATAATTGGAATTTTGATCATATTTAAGCAAAAATTTCGAATTTAGTTTTTCAACCATTTTGACAGCCCTAGTACATACACCTAGCTATATATTGCTTTTTAATAACTTGTATTGTTATATTGGTGCATATCAATGAAAATTATTAAATGTAATTCTTCCTGGTGTTCATTTAGTGAAAAATGTGTAAAAAAATTAAAACCTTGTTTTTAACTATATTTTCACTCTTTTTATTCGTTGCATCGCGTGAATTTCTGCACACTATTATTCTGCATGCAAAAACTGCTTTAATGAACACTGCCCCGTCTGTAAATGTTCAAACAAGAAGACAGTCCCGCCCTCAAACTCACACTATTGGTCGAATCAACCTATTAATGGTTAGTAGTTTAAGCTGGGATAGGATAAAGTATTTCAACAAAAATTAAAAAAAAAAAATCTGAAAATTTGGATTCTAATTGCTTATAATGTCTGTTTAAAATAGATTTCTTGACTGTATATTTATAAATTTTTAAGACATTTTAGAGCAAATACATAATTATCAAAATAAAGAATATTGTCTAAAGACTGAAAATGTCAATCATGATTTGACACAATATCAACATGCAGAAACTAAGAAACACATTTTTCTATTGAGATATTTACTTAGTTCAGGAAAAATTACTGGAAAAGTATAAAGAATTAAAAAAAATGTGAAGTGTTTGTCATGTTCTGACCATAAAGGGTCGTTTAAACCACAATTAATGGTCTGGTTTCTACAACTTTCACTTAAAAGCAAAAATCGGCCTTTAAACTTAAAAGAAATAAAAAAGTGAAATTTATCGTGATAATTATCGATATCAACTGATATGAAAAATTTTATCGTGATAATTTTTTTGGGCCATATCGCCCAGCCCTAATGTCAAGGTAATATTTTGTGTGTGTTTTTAATAAAAGGAAGTTAAATATAAACCAAGGGATTTGCTGGTCTCACCGTATGAGGTTGAGCGGCTGCTCCTTGTAAAAGCTGCTGAAACGAGCCCAGTATTTATACAAGGAATAGCGTTCGCTCTCACAGTTAGCATCACGAGACCTGGTCCAGTACCTACACTACAAAAAACAGACATTAACGTTATTGTTTTTTCTATGGCACAAAACCTTCTGAATAGAGAAACATCTAGGTTTATGCCACTGAATGCACATCTTCCCCGGTTAAAGACTTACGTCATGCAAAGGGAAGGCAGCTGCGTAGGTCCCGTTGTTCAGCAGCCTCTTGATGCCCTTCTTATCCTTGTCTTCTTTACTGTATGGACATCGGGAAAGGATGTAATATACCTACATGGAGAAGAAAATAAACTAAGCCTTTGGTCACAGGGCAGTTCCTCAGTAAAAGTTTAATAAGGCCATGCTGCAATGGAGGTTACTACAATGTAATATCTTGTAATAATTTTATGTATTCTTGGCATTTCTACTGGTTTCCTTACAATCCTGTTCCGTGTGGATGGAGGAAAGAAGGTTTCTTTATCCTCGATGAGGAAGAAGTCAGTCTTGCTCTTGTCAAAGGTGGCGGTGAAGTAGTCGGGCTCAGGCTGCATCACATGCTCGGGCAGACGGTAGGGAGTACAGAGCCAGCTCAAGGGTACGTCTTTTTTATCTGGAATATCATTGGCTTTAAAAGGCACTTTGATTTTCAAAACATCTGCATATGTTGCCAGCACTTCCCATGGAACGTGGATCTTCAGGAAGTATGTCCTCCCATCTTCAGACTCCTGGAAAGACAAACACTGGTGCATGACTTTTTACTAATGCTGTGTCTAATAATACAGTTTATTATAAATGAACAATAACAGGTGAAAATGTGTAATGTTATATCGAAGTATGACTGATAATATATATATCGATGTCCTGATAGGGGTTTTGGTGTCATACGTGATTTCAGATGTTTCACTCACAGATTTGTCCTCAGTCTCCAGCTCAAGTCCAACTTTCTGTAAGTTAGCCTCAAACTCCTTCCTTCGATCCTGCATAGGGATGTTCATTTCGGTTAATATTCCCGACCATTATTTTATAGCGCACAACGTTTAGTTGTTATTGTGAGTGTACACAAACAAATGTAGACCCTTAACAGATTCGAACGATGTAATTAATCTTGTCTGTATGACCAAAAATGACAGGGTGTGATCGCGCCGGTGCCTCTATGCTAACTGTCATGCAGTATAAGCACACGCCTTTTCAGCTTTCACACTCCGCACAAACACTTGAAAGTGCGCACATTTAATATAGACATTATACATGTACAGTAGATGTTAAATATGTGTAGCAATATTCATGCATTTAATGTTTAACTGATAGTATTAATCGGTCAAAATTCTTATTTGCGGTTATCCTGCATGAAAGTTCAATAACACATCTGACAATCGCCGATTTGTGCTTCTGGTGCAGTACACACCGTACGTAGGGCAAGAAGGATTTCTGGTAACTATTCATGAAATGACAGACTGTAAAGCTGCATGTGTGTGAATTGTGAAGGCCTGGTAAAGCACATACTTTATGAGTAACAAGAATGTGGAAGTACACACAGACTCTCACCTCTGACACACACACACACACACAGTCAGTACACAAGGGTTGTCAGCATAGGCAGAGTTTGGGGGCTGCCGGGGGTACAGTGCCCGTCTAGTGGCCAGAGTCAAAGGTTTTATCAGGCTGTACTAAGCCTTCTTTTACTTTCACCCTTTGTCTTAAACTTTGCTGTTGTTTTGCTGTTTTGTTTGTTTGTTTTCCAGTTGGCTGTGCACAAGAATCACAATACAACTTTTAATCATGTGATACATATTTTTTCAGCAATTGTGATTCCCGTTTGCATTAAATCCTGCATGTGCATTAAACATTGTGTAAAAGTGGGTTCGTTCACCCAAAAATGAAAATTACACCATGATTTACTCACCCTAGGCGCATGACTTTCTTGTTTCAGACAATTACATTCAGAGTTATATTAAAAAATGTCATGGCTCTTTCAAGCTTTATAATGGCAGTGAATGGGGGTCGAGATTTTGAAGCAAAATAAAGTGCATCCATCCATCATAAAAAGTGCTCCACACGGCTCCGGGGGGGTTAATGCTCCGGGTGTGTGTTCACTACTGTGTGTGTGTGTGTGCACTTGGATGGGTTAAAGGTGACATATCATGAAAATCTGACTTTTTAAGTGCTATAGTCAGGTCCCCGGTGCATCTACCAACCAAGGAAACGTGAAAAAGTTTAACCCAATCACTTTGTTTTGGAAAGCCTTTTTCTGCAAGCGTCTGAGAAAACGAGCGCTTCTGATTTCGCTCCCTTGGTGACGTGGCAAAGGTATCTCATTATAATATTACCACCCCTTAATCTGTAAACTTCCACTCAAGGCGCCATCATTTTGATTTTGCAAGCGACAACGGTATACCAGCTCTAATGCCATGGCGAAAGTTTGAGCAAAACATGCTAATTGTTCCGTCTTTGGCTGCACAGACGAGCACAGAACGACTGTTTTTGTAACTTGCGTGTTTTTAACATAAACTTGTGTGTAAATGAGAATTTAGTTTAGTACTCACATGCTGTGACAGCCGCTTTCTGTCCATGTGCTTCGGATGTGTGCGCTCAGAAAACCTTATATCAGAAGTTTAAACTCATATGGTTTAAAACGCATGATTTCAGCGCGATAAACATGATAATCAGAACCAAAACAGGTGTTTTTAGCAGATACAAGCTGCAGCTCTATTCTGGAAAAGGGGGCGGGGAGCAGCAGCTCATTTGCATTTAAAGACACAGGCCCGAAAAACACATTTGCATTTAAAGACACAGGCCCGAAAAAACAGCTTGTTTCTGCTTCCACTCAAAATAGGCATTTTCTAAATTATATAATAAATGATCTGTGGAGTATTTTGAGCTGAAACTTCACAGACACATTTTGGGAACACCAGAGACTTATATTACATATAGCAAAAAGGGGCATAATATGTCACCTTTAAATGCAGAGCACAAATTCCTAGTATGGGTCACCATACTTGACAGATTTCACTTCACTCACTCACTAAATGCAATCTGAAGTGAAGCAAAGCAAAGTGTTTGTGTAAGAAAAATATCCATATTTAAAACTTTAAAAACCGTAATCTCTAGTTCCTATCAAAAGCTACACTCGATGTTGCATTTCAGTAACACTAATGAGAACATTCTTTGTTCGACCGGTTGTGAAGCATGTGTGTCAAACATGCCAAGAATTGGCTTAAATTACCTCGGTCGGTGACGTCACTGGAATGCAGAGGTTATAAATAGACATGAAACGGTCACATATCCAGGTTTCTTTGTCTTCAAAGACCGCTTTGTGTGTGTGTGTGTGTGTGTGTGTGTGTGTGTGTGTGTGTGTGTGTGCTACACTGCTGAAAGCAGTATCAATCAAGAGAAAAAAATAATAAGTTGAAAGTGAAAGTTAGTTTATTAATAATGTCGAGTGAATCTGCAAAGAGATGCGTGCCTCCCTCACGACCCATCTCTGAAGAGGACTCTCATGAGTGTTATTTGGAGAGTTTGGGGGAAGAGCACGCTGCTCTCTGTGATTCATTTCCTATTTGCGTGCTTCGCTTTAGGCTTGCTTTCTAACCGTGTAGATCTGGCTGAGGCTAATTTTCATTTTTAGGTGAACTATCCCTTTAAAAAGTGCCCTATGTAATTGTAATGTGGTGTTTGGGTTTTGTCTTGTTCATGTTTCCATGTCTTTTATTTTGTAATTGTTTCATGCTGTCAGTGTCATGCTTCCCTTGCCCTCATGTATCTCTGCCTTGTGTATGTGTCATGTTCTGATTGGTTGTCTTAGTCATGTGTCTTGTTTCCCATTGGTTTGTTCTTGTCATGTGACCCTCATTGTCTGATATAAGTAGCCATCATGTTCCCATAGTCTTTGTCTTGTATTGAAGTTGCACATGGGTTCTTCATTACTCTTGCCTTCAGTGAACTGATTCGTTACAGAATACACGACCACCAAAATGAACCCAGCAGATCGTCTCATTCGACTTCGCCAAGGAAGCTGGCCTATAGAGGATTATGTGGCAGACTTTTGTAAGTTGTGTCATTTGGTGGACTTTCATGAAAGACATTTTTCGTTTTGGTTTGGTTAAAAACATATCACATTTAATGCCACGCAATATCCCTCAATGGACTCTTGAGAAATTATGCATTGCGATTGAGTGGCTCTGCATTTACTGTGGGGGTTGTTGATGAAGAACACAGCTCTCCTACAGTACCTGCCACAACAGAACTTCTGAGTCCCCGGCCAAGATGGCCGCCACGCCCGAGTCCCCGGCCAAGATGGCCACCACGCCTGAGCCTCTCCTCTAAGGATTATTTTTGGGGGGGGCTATAGTGCCCAAGCTCATGCGAATGCAGAGCTTGGTCGAGGACTGAAAAGACTGATTGCTAGTGTGATGGACCCACCACTGATGTCAGTGAGAGCGGCTGACATTCCAGTGGTCCCTACGCTCTCAAGCCCACCAGGCATCCCACTGTCTACTGCACTGCCCGTAATGGCGGTCGCCGTTTTGAGCGTGTGGGCTGCACACTGCGCTCCAGAGTCCTCTCCTGTCCACGAGTCTGCTCCTGAGGCCTCTCCTGTCCACGAGTCTGCTCCTGAGGCCTCTTCTGTCCTTGAATCTGCCCCAGAGGCATCTCCTGCCTATGAGTCTGTCTCAGAGGCCTCTCCTATCCACAAGTCCTTTTCAAGGGTCTTTCCTATGCCTGAATCCGCTGCAGAACCTCCAGAGGTGGCGGCATCCGCTGCAGAACCTCCTGAGGTGGTGGCGGCCGCTTCCGAACTCCCAGACTGTCTTGTCACGACCACGGAGGCTGTTCACGAACTCACTGTCTGCTCTGTCACGGCCACGGAGGCCGTTCACAAACTCACTGTCCGCCCTGCCATGGCCAAGGAGGCCGTTCATGAACTCACAGTCTGCCCTGTTCTGCCTGCCCCGCCATGGCTCCCTGCTCTGCCTGCTCCACTTCATGGGCCTGACCCTCCGTCCCTCCCCCAGTTCCCCCTCCACTCCACCACCCTCCTGGACTTGTGGGGTTTTGGTTGTGTTTGTTTGGGTGTCTGGAGCCGCCCTTGGGGGGGGGGGGGGGCTCTGTCACGAATCCGGTCCATGAACTTCCGTCGGCTAACCATCAGAGGTCACCCTTCCCATTTTCATTGATTGAACCCTCTTGGAATGGCAGAAGCCTGCCGGGGAAACACGGGCTCAAGGCTATACCGTGGACTTTACACATATGAGATCCACTTAGGTCTTACATATGGAACCCAGCCTTCTACCGGTTCTCGAGGATTCAGTGAGTGAAGGCCTGGTGCCGGACGCTCCGCCACGTCTGGCTGCCGAGGGGACGGAGGAACTCAACAGGGTCTACTATATGGACTCTCTGGAGTGGTTTTGCAAGCCAACCCGAAGCCGGGGCCTCTCAG